CTTGTGGTCTAGGGTCAGAGGTTCTCAAACATTTTAGTCTCAGGACCTATTAAACTCTTAAAAACTATTCAGGAATCCAAAAGAGCTTCTGTGTATGTGGTTTACATCTGTCAATAATTATGTGTTAAAATTAAAACCAAGAGCATTCCAAATTATGTATACACTTAAAAACCAATTACATGACACTGAAAATAAATTTAAAAAACAAAAAAACAAAAACAAAACACATTCTCTTGGGGCACCTGGGTGGCTCAGTCGGTTAAGTGTCTGACTTTGGCTTAGGTCATGATCTATAGGTCTTAGATCATGGGTAAGTTCGAGACCTACATGGGACTCTGCTGACAGCTTCGGATTCTGTGTCTCCCTCCCTCTCTGCCCCTCCCCCACTCACACTCTGCGTCTCCGTCTAATAAACAAACATTAAAAAATGAAAAAAGAAAAGGGGCATCTGGGTGGCTCAGTCAGTTGAGCAGCTGACTTCATCTCAGGTCATGCATGATCTCACGATTGGTCAGTTCGAGCCCCATGTCAGGCTCTGTGCTGACAACTTGGAGCCTGAAGCCAGTTTCAGATTCTGTCTCCCTCTCTCTCTGCCCCTCCTCCCCCAAATGAAATAAACATTAAAAAAAATTTTTTTAAGGAAAACAAAAAATACATTCTCTTGAAAAATGTGTTTTTCTGAATTATAAAATATAATAAATATAAAATAAAATTTAGTGAGAAAAGTGGCATTGTTTTACATTTCCTCAAATCTCTTTAATGTCTAGCTTAATGAGAGACAACAGGATTCTCATTTCTGTTTCCGTATTTAATGTTACAATATGTTGTTTTGATTGAAGTACATGAAGAAAACCCATATTCAAGCAGGTATGCAGTTGGAAAAAAGAGGAATGTGACAACTCCCTGAAAGTCTTATGGGGCCCACAAAAGTCCTTTTTTTTTTTGATCAAACACCTCATCAGTAAAAAATTTTAAAATACTCATTCCAGTATATGCATATTTATTTAAATATACTATTCCACTGATATTACTATTTCTATTATAAAACATATATATAAAATACTTAAGATAATATGAAGACTAAAAATGAGTAAAAGTTCTAATTTTTTTTCAATATTCCAATGTACTGACTTGAGTACAAACTTACTTTGGGGACTACTGGATTAGGGGAGATATACATACAAAGAAACATCTACAAGAGACTGTTAAAGAGCTCTAAAAGATGAGATTGTTATTTTGTCGGAGAGAAAGAAAGTTATATTCCGAATAAAACATTACCCCTATGGTAACTAATTCTTTTTTGGTTTTGTTCTATTTTAAAAACTGAGTATAGAACCTTTCCTTTTCACCTCTGAATGAGTTTATTTTCTGAGAATAACAATTCAGAAAATAGAGATAAATGAAAATTGCTATAATCTTAATACCCAGAAATAATTACTATTTACACTTATTAATAGTTATATACGTATGCAAATAACTTGACATATAATACTATATGGTTATATGTATAGCATAATACTATACTGGTTACTGTATTTTTTTAACAATGTATTCACAACATCTTTTCACATTTTTTTTTTTTTTAAGATTTTATTTTTACGTAATCTCTACATCCAACGTGGGGCTTGAACTCACACCCCTGTGATCAAGAGTCACACACTATACTGACTGAGCCAGCCAGGCACCCCATGACATCATTGTTTACATCAATATTACATTATTTCATGGAAGAAATCTACTACAACGTAACCAATCCCCTACAATAGGACATTTAGATAGTTTCCAATCTATGACGAAAGGCTATAATAAATATTCTTGTATTTTTTGTGTGGTCTGCACAATATCTTTGTGTTAGTCCATGAACAACTCTTTGGATAATTACTCATAAATGGTACTGCTGAGCCAACATGTATGTACACATTTAAGTCTATTACCTGGACTGCCCTGGAGAGATTTATTTAACTGTTTTTTATATTTGCCTATTTGATAGGTTAAAATTTACATTTCACTTTTATTTTAAATTATCCACTGTATTGGAGCACCTGGCTGGCTCAGTCTGTAGAGCATGCGACTCCTGATCTTGGGGTTGTAAGTTCGAGCCCCACGTTGGGTGCAGAGATTACTTTAAAAAAACAAAATCAGGGGCGCCTGGGTGGCGCAGTCGGTTAAGCGTCCGACTTCAGCCAGGTCACGATCTTGCGGTCCGTGAGTTCGAGCCCCGCGTCAGGCTCTGGGCTGATGGCTCAGAGCCTGGAGCCTGATTCCGATTCTGTGTCTCCCTCTCTCTCTGCCCCTCACCCGTTCATGCTCTGTCTCTCTCTGTCCGAAAAATAAATAAACGTTGAAAAAAAAAAAAATTAAAAAAAAAAAAAAAAATCATTAAAAAAAATTATCTACTGTACTGTCTTAAATGGACTTTAGTAATTGGCCGTTTCTTTCTTTTAGAATCACTTGGTTTTCTGTCTACTTCATCTCTTCTATAGATCTGGCACTTTGCTAACCTACAGTTACTTACTGTGCAACTCTCCATGTTTTTCATTCATTCCCCAAATATTTATCAATATGTGCTAAGTATTATTCACTACTATCTCAGTTTGTGACCTAAACAAAGCAAGAATTCTAATGGTAAAGCTGAAATTTAAATGAAAGGCTTGGGGGTACCTGCGTGGCTCAGTTGGTTAAACGTCCAACTCTTGGTTTTGGCTCAGGTCATGATCTCATGGTTTGTGAGTTCGAGCCCTGCATCGGGCTCCATGCAGACTGTGCAGAAGCTGCTTGGGATTCTCTCTCCCTCTCTCTCTCTGTCCCTCCCCTGCTCATGCTCGCTCACTCTCTCTCTCTCTCTCTCTCTCTCTCTCACTCTCTCTCAAAATAAATAAATAAACCTTAAAAAATAAATCAATAAATGAAAGGCTTGGAGGCAGAGAAGGATTTCCTAAGAACAGTATGTATAAAACATGTTATGTAATGAGTAATCCAAGAGAATTTTCATAATCTTCACCCCACAAATGTGATGACAGATTTAGTAGCTACTTGATTAGTAAGAGTAAAGAATACAGAAAACAAAGGGAGGAAAAAGAACTGACATTTCATGATTCAACGCTAGTAAATCTCTAATATTTTAGCTACTAATTAAGGTTACTGGCACACAAATAATGAATAAATTTGATCCATTAAAAATATGACAATATAACAACACAGCAGATTTGTATGATCTAATGTTAGCCTTAAAAAAACTACCAACAGCGGGACGGATACCTGGCTGGCTCAGTTAACGAGCACGCAACTCTTGATCTCAGGGTAATGAGTTCGAGCCCCACAATGGGTGTAGAAATCACTATATACTAAACTTAAAAAAAACAAACAAAAAACCAACAACCAACAGTAAAATAGCATGTGAATAGACAACAGGAGTAGGCAAAATTGCTATATCAAGAAACTGGGTTCATAATACTTTTATTTACAAATTTTTCAAGCAATGTAAGGAAAACATCAGTTAATTATATATTCCTAACCAGAAACCTTAATTACCCAAATTTTCTTTTTTTTCCTAAAAATATTTATTCATTTTTGAGAGAGAAAGAAAGAGACAGAACACAAGCAAGGGAGAGGCAGAGAGAGAGGGAGACAAAGAATCTGAAGCAGGCTCCAGGCTCCAGGCTGTCAGCACACAGCCTGACCCAGGGTTTGAACTCATGAGCTGCAAGATCATGACCTGAGCCAAAGTCCGACCCTTAACCAACTGAGCCACCCAGGCGCCCCAATTATCTTCCTCTCTCATAAAATTGTAATAAAACTACTTGACAGTGAGGATCTAATTTTTAAAAGTGGCTCCTAGGTTATGTCCAGGTTTAATCCATTTAAATCAATTTCAAGTACATTCCTACTTCATAATACCAAATATTTTATAACTCTGGTTTCCAAAATAAGTTCACATATACTATATCACACCAACAAGCCTCTTACCATCCACATTTTATAGATGAGGAAACTGAGGCTATTCTGGGTCCAAATATTTACCCAAAATCAAAAGACTTATAGAGTAAGTCAGTACAAGTTGGGTTTTCTGACTCTTACTACACATAGCATTCTAGTAAACTTTATTGGCCCCATGACAAAAAAAATATATATATATAATTAATGGTCTTAACTAATATCAGATTATGAATAACCAAAAATGAATTATACTACATTTAATATACTTTTCTTACAAAAATCAGTACGTGTACAAGTCAACTTTAACAAGACAGCTAACAAGTGCTAAACAGAAGATATCAGTTAACAGATATCTTAATCATAAAATTCTGCATAATCAAGATTTACATTATAGCATTTAAAACATGCAAAATCTTTTCTATAAACTGTGTCACCTGGGCAAAATATTTCTAAGCATTTCTAAAGGTGATAATTTCAAGACCTAGTAAGCACAGGGTGTTAAAAACACAATTTTTTAAATATCAATTTTATTCACATGAGTTGACTACTATTTTTTTCTGAAACAAATGTGATTTTACCTTTGATTCTAATATATTAAATATGAGTCGGCTTTGAACTCAAAAACTACATATCAGATTTTAAAAATATGCACACTAGTAGTAATAGTCAAATTACCATGATGCTACCACCTGAAAGGTCAAATCCCACCAAATTATCTACCAGACGGTAAGGACGAGAAGGCTAATTGTAATGGAACCGACTGTGATAGAGCCTAGGCCTTCTGAGTACATACCACACATATGTCGGGCTCTGGGACAAACATGATTTATCTCTGTCTTCACAGCAACAGTGACAAATTTATCACTGTTATATCAAAAAAGAAAATGAAACTTCAATCATTAGCTAACTTGCTTAAGTCACAGTGCTAACAAGTGGTATAACAAGGCATGAACCTAAACAGTATTTATTTTGTTAAATAAGTAAATTTATTAAATAAATTTAAATATGTACAATTTACAAGATCAACTATTTTAAAACAGTAAGATAAATATTTAATCACTTACCTCTTCAGGCAGTTCACTGTACATGGTTTCAGAGGTAGACAATAAAAATATAGGTGAAAATGATGGTATATCTTGTAGCAATGTCAGAAAAGTTGCTCTCACAGTTTCACTGACAGCTTCCCACCAGTCACCAATGTGAGGCATGTAAACAATACTAGGTACTGTTCTTCGAGCTTCACGAAAAATCTAATCAAGGAAAGAACTGGCATTAAAAATTCAAACTGAAAAGAATGTTCAAATTGATACTATTCTAAAGTTTACTTAGTAACCCCCAAATACATGAAATGTGTCAGGCCTGTGACTGTAATTATTCTCAGCTCAAATATTTAAGCTGTTCAAGATGTGATGCATAAGCCTCACATATAGCTTCTATCTACCCTTGCTCCACCTAAAAAAAGAAGGGTTTTTTTTTTGCCATTTTATTATTTCTATTCAGTACTTATTAATAATATAAAGGTATCAAATTGTTCCACTTATCTATCATGTAAAGATAACAAAGCAAAACACCATTATAAAATATGCTGCAAATAAAGAGATAAACATGCACCAACATGTCACCCACGTCAGAATGAGATCAGTAAGCACAAAGAAGAAAAGAAATAGTTTCCGTGTTTGTGCACATTCCCTAAAATCACTAAATATATGGATTAAATATTTTCACCACGATGCATCACCCTAGAGCTTAAGATTATGAACTACCTACTGAACCACTTGTTTACCTCCTATCACCTTAATTCAATCCTCCATAGAGCAGTCACAAAATACCCTCACATCACTAAAGAGCAATAAATAAATTAGCAAAAAGCTCTGAGACACTCCCATCGTCAGAAAATACAAAATAAAGTTTCCTCAGGTGTTAAAAAAGAATCCTAACCATAGCTTCAGTCACACTCTGCCAACACATGCCAATAAGGACCGGGTTGGCTATTAGTAAGTTGCCAAGCAGAAGTATTGCCCTTTACAAAGATGTCAACAATAGCTCAATGGCCCATCAACAAATTCTTGTGGGATGATATGGCATCTCTTCAATACTTCTAACAAATGAAAGAATAAATGTAAAAATCTTCCTTCAATTTATTTCAGAATTCCATTTCTAAAATTCTCTACTACTTCCCTTTAAACATGTTTCAATTAACCTGTATAATGTGCAAGATCAAGAAATAATGATCTAGTATTTAAAATGATTAGGATTATTAGAAATGTTCCTGAGAATCAAAATGATTATTTTTCTTTAATGAATAAGCCTATCACTTGCATGAATTTTTCAAATGCTACATTTTATAAAGCTTTAAACATTCTGTGTAAAATAAAATGTATTGCCAATTTAATAAACCAGATGGAAGATGCTCAAATAAAAAATTTCCCCCAAATTGGAAATGTAGATGTTATGATCACTCACATCAAAAGTAATATTTGCTCCTTCCCTTCCTTTAATATTTGCATATCCACCAATCCAGAACAGTTGTACAGTACAACTCCAGGACTCTCAAATTTTGACCTTTTCTGCAAACACGCACCCTCTTATCCTGGATCTTGAAAATCCAAGGATTATTGTTTTCCAAAGTTCTTGTAGAAGATTCATAAGAGAAAAACAAGCATAAATATTGGCAAAAGGAAGGAACCACACAGGAGCACAAAGGCAAGTGAGGCATTTAATTTCCACCCCCCCAAAAAGAAAAAAATTGCTACATGCCACCCAAATCAGGGATGGTATGTGGAGGACAATAACCGATGCCTTTTGTCTTTCCAATTCCCACTCTGTGCTAGTAAAACTAGGGAGAGTCAGCAGGGAGAGAATGGTGATTACATGAAAAACACTAATGAGCTTATAAAACTTACTGAGAAACCTCACAAAACTAACCACCTAATTCAGCCATGCAAGTTTACCACATGCCCAAGGAGAGATGAGAAAACATGCCTTTAAAAAAAACAAAATGTAGCCTCTCATTCTAGTACTTGTAGGTTAGGTTTTCTAGAAATAGTTGTTGAGAACATCTAGTTGCTAATAAGTATCAAAGAGTAAGGGCAAAGCAACAGAAGGTTAAGTGATAAAAACTTTATAGAGCCAGAAATTAAATAATGCAGGACTATAGGTGTTTTAACTCATTTGCAAGGCTGAACTAGAAACACAAGCATCACCAGCTCTGAAAGAGTTGAGGGTTGTTGTTTTTTTTTTTTCTATTTCTTTCCTCTTTTCATTCAATTCTCCCCAAAACAACAGAATGAACAGGATATTCTATTGATCTTATCTCTAAAGACTTTAGGAAAGTATCTTTATCAGTGAAAGTTTAAAAAATTATACTTAAAAACCTAAAGGGGGAAAACAAGAAAGAAAAAAGTCTAAGACAAATATAGAAAAATAAAAAGGCTTAGGCTTATCCATGAATGTATAATTACCTAATTTTACAATTAATCTGACTACATGCAATATTAATAGCCAGGGGCTATTTTCAGAATTTTTTTCCTAAGCCTTTACAGGAAAAATATCTGTAATTTCTAGAAAAATTTAAAATCACTACTAAAACAAGTTTTATTTTTAATTCCTTACTCCATGTGATCTCAGAACATTTAAACTTTCATAATTTCTTTAAATATATAGCCAACCTGGTTCTAATTCTAATTCTCCAGTTTTTGTAATGAAAATTCAAAAAGAATGGTCTAAAAACAGTATTTTAAAATTCAGAAAAAAAGTTTAATCATATCGTGATTTTTCCATAATGTAAAAGTAGCTCTTCAGCAGTTTGCTGGTAACTTTTAAAGTTGTGGAATAACATACACTCCCTGAAATCAATTAACCAGATTCAGAGTAGAAAAATAAAGCCTAGTTTTAGTGAAGCGGCAACTGTCTTGGGAACAAGTGATGCCATTTGATAACTAGAAAAATACTCACCTATAGGGTGTCTTGGATTGGTGGATGTGCAAGGTGTAGTAGAAAACAGAAAAACTGTTATAGAGAAAAAAAGACAGTAGGCCAAATTACTGAACCAACCGTTCAAAACACCTCTGACATGACCAGCACTCTTGCACAAATAAAATGAACAAACACCAGTGTATGTGAACTGTTCATTTTGATTCTTTAAACAATATATTTTACTTCCTTCTGGCTTCTTCCTGCCCCAGACATCATGGTCCCTTGTGTAACTGTTTTAAAGGTTTATTAAAAAAAAAAAAAAAAAGTACAAACTACTTCCTATGAATATTAAAGATATGAAAGAAAAAAATCAGGCCACTGAAGTTAAAAGTATCCACACAAAGCAGCACTAATTATATAAACTGAACCTATATTTATAAAAGTTCTTATCATCTCAAAAGCTAAACTTTCAAGTCAGTATTTTAGCCAGCAAATTAAAGTATGTGGTGCATGAAATTTTACTGTACTTTAAAAATTAAGTCTATACAGCCCATAACAAGCCATTTTCTTGAGAAACTGAAAACTGGAGTAATTTTAAACACAAATGTAAATGAAGCAGAAAGCTCATGCCAGCGCAGCTTTCACTTTCCTAAAAGAAGCTCTATAAGAAAGAGAGAAACAATTCTGTCATCAATAAACTTCCAGAATTTGTCTTGGTCATGTTGTAGTACTAGGAATGTGCTAACATTGTAAAAGAGAGAGAAAAGAAAAATCTTGGGGGCTAAAATATTCTTGATTTTTATAAAAATTAAAAAGTACTATTAATATACACTATTAAAATAAGTATTTAATTCCTTAGACCATACTATCATAAATATTAATAATATATCTGCAATACTAATAACTTCATGTCATATCCATCACTTTACTCCATTTATATTCTATTCACCTAAGATTTATCGAGCATCTCTGTGAAAAGGAGGCAACGTCTAGAATCAGGATGCAAGAAATAAAGTGCTGAATTTCTTTAAGCATACAAATCAGCCTATTATAAAACATAACTATACTAGACTTTCTGATCGATGATTGTAATATAAAGCAACATTTTATGAAAATTAAGTCACCCAAATTCTTTTTCTGTTATTTTCATTGCCTAAAAATTTTAAGAATTTCAGTAAATGTGATATGACAAACTCTGGACCAGGATAATTTAACTTTTTTACAACTTAAGAAAAAAAAAAAGGTTGTTGCTACGGTAAAACACAGAAACCCATGTGCACAAACCAAGAGTACCCAAAGTATACACAGAATGCTATGGAGAAATCCAGAAACCCTTATGCATAAACACAAGAGCATCCAAAGAATACACATAGGTAAGTATGTTAATTCCTTCCTGCTACTTAACCAAAAAGGATTTTCCTTGAACATTTCCAAATACAATTTCTTTCTGGGAAAAGAAAAATATTGCAATTTTCACCAAAAAAAAGAAAAAAAAAAAAAAGAAAAGACCTTATTGACTAAATTATTTGTAACAACATATAATATCCAAACTCCAAAGCTTGTGGCACACAATATATAAATTTATCAATTCAATCATTAATGAAAAAGAAAATACACTTATCAATTCTGATTTCCTAAATCAACAGTAGAAATAATATAAATAATACATTTGAAGATGTCAGAAAAAGGGAATCATAGCTGTTCTTTGGTTTTCTAGAGTGTTAATACAGGTAAGTCTTTTACTACAGTTACTAACATCTCCAGCTTTGTTTTAGGTCTCAGTAACTACTTGTGAATTTTACTTGACAACCATAAATCTTCCAGGCTACCCCAGGCTTTTCCATTCTCCTTCCAGAGCTTTTGAGAGACTATAAAATACTCAGTAACATAGATAGATAGATAGACAGATAGATAGATAGATAGATACATACATACATACATACATACATACATACATACATACATAGACAGGCAGACAGATAGATAGATACAGACATACACACAGACAGACAAAACCACTTTATGAATTCTGGCAATTGTTTTCAGTAATAAATGTCTAGTGTCCAGTTATCACCCAAAGTACTAAATCTCCAAGTGTGACTGATCTCTAAAGACCTAGAATAGTAACACCTGGATTCAGGTTTAAAGCACATATTCCTGGGGCTCACCCCAAATTTCAAGAATCAGAATTCCTGAGTGTAGAGCCAGGGAATAAGAAATTTTAACAAGCACTCCCAGAAGAGGCTTATAGCCACTAAATCTTAAGAAACAATGATAAAACCCTATAGTAGACACGAATTCCTCTACCATTTTCACACACTTTGTAATATTCATC